CCCCGGATTTTTTTACCGTAACTACTCGGATTTTTACCGTAATTCCTGCCATTTTTCCCCCCAAATCCCGGGATTTTGGCCCCGAATCCCAGGGATTTCCCCCCGAATTCCCGTTTTTCCGTCAGCTCCCGCTCCGAGGTTCGCCTGGGCCGCTCGGAGAGCCTGAAGGGCCGGGAGGAGCTGCGGCGTTGCCGGCGTTGCCGGCGCCCGGAGCCGGTGCCGCGATCCCGCAGCGACGCCGACGTGGACGGGAGCGGCTCCGAGACCCCGCGGCTGCACTCGGCCTCCTCCTCCTCCGCCTCCAGCCTCTCCAACAGGTGGGGATTCCCAGAATCCACGGAATTCCCAAAATTCCCAAAATTCCCGGAATTCCGGAGCTTCTATCCCGGATTTTTGGGAATTTGGGATGGAAATGTGGGAAATTGGGATTGGGAATTTGGGGTTTTTTTGGGAAAAAATCGTAGCTCAGGGTTGAGGTGTGGAGCCTTTGGTCTCTCCAACAGGTGGGGATTCCCAGAATCCACGGAATTCCCAAAATTCCCGGAATTCCAGAGCTTCTGGCCCGGATTTTGGCACGTTTGGGATGGAAATGCGGGAAATTGGGATTGGGAATTTGGGGTTTTTTTGGGAAAAAATCGTAGCTCAGGGTTGAGGTGTGGAGCCTTTGGTCTCTCCAACAGGTGGGGATTCCCAGAATCCACGGAATTCCCAAAATTCCCAAAATTCCCGGAATTCCGGAGCTTCTATCCCAAATTTTGGCGCGTTTGGGATGGAAATGCGGGAAATTGGGATTGGGAATTTGGGGTTTTTTGGGAAAAAAGCGTAGCTCAGGGTTGAGGTGTGGAGCCTTTGGTCTCTCCAACAGGTGGGAATTCCCAGAATCCACGGAATTCCCAAAATTCCCAAAATTCCCGGAATTCCGGAGCTTCTATCCCGGATTTTGGCGCATTTGGGATGGAAATGTGGGAAATTGGGATTGGGAATTTGGGGTTTTTTGGGAAAAAAGCGTAGCTCAGGGTTGAGGTGTGGAGCCTTTGGTCTCTCCAAGAGGTGGGAATTCCCAAAATCCACGGAATTCCCAAAATTCCCGGAATTCCAGAGCTTCTGGCCCGGATTTTGGCACGTTTGGGATGGAAATGCGGGAAATTGGGATTGGGAATTTGGGGTTTTTTGGGAAAAAAGCGTAGCTCAGGGTTGAGGTGTTGAGTCTCTGCCTCTCCAAGAGGTGGGGATTCCCAGAATCCACGGAATTCCCAAAATTCCCAAAATTCCCGGAATTCCGGAGCTTCTATCCCGGATTTTGGCGCGTTTGGGATGGAAATGCGGGAAATTGGGATTGGGAATTTGGGGTTTTTCGGGAAAAAAGCGTAGCTCAGGGTTGAGGTGTGGAGCCTTTGGTCTCTCCAACAGGTGGGGATTCCCAGAATCCACGGAATTCCCGGAATTCCCAAAATTCCCGGAATTCCGGAGCTTCTGGCCCGGATTTTGGCGCGTTTGGGATGGAAATGCGGGAAATCGGGATTGGGAATTTGGGATTTGGGGTTTTTTGGGAAGGCTTCGAGTCTCTGCCATCTCTGGCAGGTGGGAATTCCCGGAATTCCCGGAATTCCCAAGCCCCCATCCCGAATTTTTGGCTTTACAGCCGGTTCAGGCCGGAAATCCGGGATAAGGAGGGAAAAATCGGGTTAAATCCCCCCGAAAAAATCGGGATTCTCGGGGCATTTTTTGGGATTTCAGCCCTCAGATCTCCCAAATCCCCACAGAACCCCCAAAAAAACCGGGAAAAACCTTGGGAAAACGCCGGGATTTGGGCTGGGAGCGGAGGATTTGGAGGAAAACGCGGGGAGGGAGGGAAAATTTGGGATTTTGGGGTGATTTTTCCGTCCTTTCCCAGATCCCTGGAAAATCCGACCCCTCCCTACACACCAAAGACGGGGCGCAGGTGAGCGGAATTCCCATTCCCAGTTTTCCAGCGGATTTTTTTCCCTGCTTTTCCCGGGGTTTTTTTTCCTTCATTTTTCCCTTTTCTTTTCTCACATTTTTCCCAATTTTTCCCCAATTTTTTTCCCGATTTTTTTCTCCCCCAATTTTCCCTTTTTTTTGGGTTTCTTCCCCATTTTCTCCCAATTTTTCCCCCTTTTTTCTCCCAATTTTTCCCAATTTTCCCCCTCAATTTTCCTCCCAATTTTTCCCCAATTCCCCCCAAGTTTTCCCCCAATTTTCTTTTCTTCTCCCAATTTTTCCCCAATTTTTTCCCAATTTTTTCCCAATTTTTCCCCCTTTTCCCCCAATTTCCCCCCCAATTTTCCCCCATTTTTTCCCTTTTTTCTCCCTTTTTTCCCCCCAATTTTTTCCCAATTTATCCCGAATTTTCTTCTCTTTTTCCTCCCAATTTTCCCCCAATTTTTTCCCAACTTTTCTCCCAGTTTTTCCCCCTTCTTCCCCCAATTTTCTCCTTTCCCCCCCAATTTTTTCCCCAATTTTTCCCCAATTTTTTCCCCAATTTTCTCTTTTTCCTTCCAATTTTCCCTTTTTTCCCCCCAATTTTTTCCCTCAATTTTCCCAATTTTTCCCAAATTTTCCCTTTTTTCCCCCCAATTTTTTCTCAATTTTTCCCCTTTTTTCCCCAATTTTTTCCCCATTTTTTTCCCTCAATTTTCCCAATTTTTCCCCAATTTTCTCCCAATTTTTCCCCCCAATTTTTCCCCAATTTCCCCCCTTTTTTCCCCTCAATTTTCCCCCTTTTTTCTCCCAATTTTTCCCAATTTTTCCCCAATTTCCCCCCTTTTTTCCCCTCAATTTTCCCCCAATTTTCCCCCAATTTTCTCCTAATTTTTCCCCCAATTTTCCCAATTTTTCCCCAATTTTCTCCCAATTTTTCCCCAATTTCCCCCCTTTTTTCCCCAATTTCCCCCCTTTTTTCCCCTCAATTTCCCCCCAATTTTCCCCCATTTTTCCCCAATTTTTTCCCCAACTTTCCCGATTTTTCCCCCCGCTTTTCCCAATTTTCCCCCCCAATTTTTCCCGCCATTCCCGATTTTCCAGGAGCCTGGATTCCCCCAGCCCGGCCGATCCCTTCCTCCCTCACCTCCCCGAGGACGAGCAGGGCCCCGTTCCCGACCCGGAGCCGGCTCCCCAATCCCAAAACCAAAATTCCCAGGACAATTCCCAGCCCCCCTGGGATCAGAATTCCCGGAATTCCCGGAATTCCCAGCAGAATTCCCAGAGCTGGCAGCACTCGGTGAGCCGGGAGCTCGTGGCCAACCTCTCGCAGCGGGAGCTGGATCGGCAGGAGGTCATCAACGGTACGGGAAAATCCGGGAAAATCCCGCAATTCCAGGAATTCCGGGGACTGGGGGGAGGCTGGGATTGGGGGGGGGGCTCATTCCCGGGATTTGGGGTCTCATTCCCGGTTTTTCCCAGGATTTGGGGTCTCATTCCCGGGATTTGGGGTCTCATTCCCAGGATTTGGGGTCTCATTCCCGGGATTTGGGGTCTCATTCCCAGGATTTGGGGTCTCATTCCCGGGATTTGGGGTCTCATTCCCAGATTTGGGGTCTCATTCCCAGATTTGGGGTCTCATTCCCGGTTTTTCCCGGGATTTGGGGTCTCATTCCCGGATTTGGGGTCTCATTCCCAGATTTGGGGTCTCATTCCCGGTTTTTCCCGGGATTTGGGGCAGCTGACTCCGGGCTCTGAGCTCTGGGTGCCGCTCTCGGAATGGGACAGCCCCAAACGTCCCCAAAATGTCCCAAAATGTCCCAAAATGTCCCCAAAATGTCCCCAGTGACATCCCCGAGGTGTCCCCAATGTCCCCAATGATGTCCCCAATGTCCCCAATGTCCCCAATGATGTCCCCAATGTCCCCAATGTCCCCAATGATGTCCCCAATGATGTCCCCATGTCCCCAATGATGTCCCCATGTCCCCAATGATGTCCCCAATGTCCCCGAGGTGTCCCCAATGTCCCCAATGATGTCCCCATGTCCCTGAGGTGTCCCCAAGGTGTCCCCAATG